TTACCGTGACAACTTTAAACAAAACACTACATTTTTTGTAAATTGCGTGTTTGCTCGCATTTAATTACAGAGACTTCTGTTTTGCTAGGTTTGTGCGCCTCTGCAATTTCATCCACAGAATTTCGTACCAAAATTTTCAACAAAACTGCTAATAACTTTAAGGCCTTAGCTAAGAAAACAAAGTGAAAAAAACCCAGAAGAAGAAGGCAATGAAACTATTTTCACCAAATTTACAGTGGATTGCACTCAAGTGTCACTGGCGCCGCGGTTTAGAGAATCCGAAGGCAACAAATATTGAAGTCAACGAAACGGGTCGCAGACACACATTCTAAACCCATGGTTTGTTTGCAAAAAGTATCCTCGGGTAATTAGCAAGCTGACTTGGATCAAAAAGAGGAAAGGTCGAGGTACGAAACATGTTTGTAATGCAGTGTAAATCTAAGCAGACCGATGAACTCTGCCCCGCCTACAGCGGGCACCTGCTACACCTGTGGCTCACAGAGAGTCGCCCGTGCTGTCTGTAGAGGTGACTGCGCATCGAATGTTATTGTTGTGGTAATATGGCATTTCGACTTAGACAGGATTATTTAATTGTAGTGGCATCGTGGTGAACTGAGCGATTACGCATTTGGCAACATTCAACACCCTTTACCAAAATTACACTTTTACAACCATTCCAGTGGCAAAGGAAAATTTCAAGGGCACAAGTACTGTCCAGTCGTTGATGAATTTATTTGTATTACTGTTGAACAGTTTCATGGAGTTCATAAAATCAAGAGGACGCATAAATAAGCAATTTCAGGTGTCGGATATCAGCCAATTCACATCGTTGATGCTTGCTAGGGAATTGAGAACGCAAATTAGCGCATTCCTTCACCCGCGTCACCTGTGCTAGGCATTATTTGTGAGGCGAACAAGTCGAGCAACTTCAACCCAATCAAATGATCTCCTCGGCTCATAACAATACTTCCCCTTTATTTAGGTAGACTCAACTCGTAGACCTGTCAAGGCACCTGCAACATAATAAGGCCTCCCTGAGAAATGCACTCAAAGTCCTTCGATTTTCAGTTTAGAGCCTGGGAATAATTTATAAGTGGTGTGATAAAACAAAATTGGAGACGAGGAATGGGTATAAGTCTTGTTGGAAAGTAGAAATTGGTTTTGGTGAGCACTAGCATAATTTAGTGCGTTCTCGTTAATATTCGCAGTTAATCTCTCGTCCATTTAATCAAGCTTCGGTCAAGACGCTGTGTGCTGGAATCGAGTGCGACTGTGTTTGTGAGGTGAAGGTTAAGTTTCAGTTCCAATTTGGTGGTAAGCAGGCCTGTGACTGCCGGAACGCAGTTACGCTCAAGGCACCTATGTGGCTTCCACTTGCATATTCACTTGGGCCTCCCTTCCAGTCTTCTGCTCAAAGACCAACTTCAGCTTCAAATTCTCGAAGGATGAGATAAGGCTAAATATTGTTCTTGCACCTACTCGTTATGCATGTTAAATAAATGATAGCATTGAGAGTGTGAGGGAATAACTCATATCTGCAACTGTAATATAGTAGATTTTGTAGTAATTCTATATACAGTCTTTTCGCTTTTTAGACTTTTCCTTGTGTTGTGCCTGGGTAATGCTGATGATGCAAAACATGCAAGCGAATTTTCTTTTACATTCCTTACCTTCCGCTTCCTATTTTCCGCAATGACTTTTACTTGGTGAACATTTTATTTTACTAATCCTCCTGTTCCACACAAAAGTGATGAGTAACGAATTACCTCCATTGAATTGCGGACAATTTCTTAACCGACTGACCTGCATTCTTTGAAAATACTTACGGGTGTGGATATTTGCTAACCAGTCAAGCGAACAAGAAAACATGAAATCACGCAAATACTCAGTGCCTACTGCGTGCCGCATTTCCTATTAAGGAATGAATAATGTAGAAAATTTTATGTAGCCATATCAACGGAATGAAAGGGAGAGGAGCGCTTGCGAGCAGAACGCACCGTCGCTCTGACGCCAAGATCTATTTGCAGCCATTCTGTGGAGGACTTGTATTTGGGGCACCAAGCCAGTCCATTGGCGAGAAATGGACGAGCGTTTGTGGGAGCGCAGTTGTTGATCGCCCAGCCACCATCATCGATGTAAGAGGAAGCCGATATCTGAGCGTCGGTTATGGCACCAGAGATCATTCCCAAAGGATCATCCTGCTCGCACGCTTAAAAGTGGTTGGAAAATTGACAGGAGTGGGAAAATAGGCGTAATGATGCAGGAAGGCAATTTTGGTTGGTCTTCCTCCAAAAGGTGCTGAGCACTTATTTGGACTTGGGCTTAAATGTGCCACACCATGTGGTTTGAACTATACCACTTCGTCTTAACCACCTCTTTGAGCAGCAAATTACTGTAATGAATCAATTAAATTATCACCCACAGTTGAGGTTCTCTCGCTTAATATCTTCGAAAAAATACTTCAGTAAAATGCGTAAGGCTTTCGGAAACCACTATGATTTCAGAGGATTTGAATGCATTATTCATTGTTAAGTGCTTAAATGGTTTCGTCTGAGTGTTACCGTTATTTGTTGTTGGCACCGGTGCTCGAATTTTTCGCAACCCGCTCATTAAAAATTTAAATGAGCTCAGCAAACCAATTGTCGAGGATTACTACACGCAAACCCATGTCCTGGATCATAGGATCTGACATTCAGGATCTACCACTTTGAACCAACGCTTGCCACTACTATTTGCAATTACTCTCCCATCAAAGCAACGTAACCGTGCCTTCGTGCGGCACATCGTTCTCTTCTGGAGAGCATATTTCGACCTTTCACAATGGAGTGTTTTCCTAACCCAGTCCTAGAAAGCTCATGATTATGACTGCCGATATCCCTCGAAAAACACTAATTACAAGACGATTCAAACGAAACCTTTTTGTTTTATTATGCTAAAACAAAATTTGTAGTATTCAAAAGTATGATAAGTGTCAGAGCAAACTAATTTTCATTTAAGCACTCCAAAAAGAAACAGTGTAATCTTTTAATTGTAATTCATTTATTTTAAACTTTCGTCCTCGATTTGACCAGTCATAATTGCCAATTGAGACTTTAGCACTGAATGTAATTGGGCGCAAGCTTTGGTGAAGAAGGTGTGCCCACAACAAGCTCAATCTCCTGCCATGTTTGCATTAGCCTTGTAAAATTGTCATCGCTTACTTTGCATTTTATGAATTTGCACAACTTATTTCTTTTGCACTTGCTTCGAGCCTATTGGCAGGTGTCAGCATAACTCATCGCTTCATTATAATAATTAAGTATTAAACTTACAAATGCGAAGAGTAGACACTCCTTTTCTGGAAGGCTTCGCTTTTCGCTTCGTTACGACTAGCCAGCTGGAGTTGGCATTTACCATTTTATGAAATCACGATTGAAATATTTTGCAATTAATTGACTATGTCTTTACCTATCAAAGAGCTAGTGACGCTGTAAGGCCATATCTCGAGGTATTGCAGTTATCAATCAAACTGGCGCTAGAGATTACCCACACATTTTCAATAACAGTTAGGTCACTGCATGACCATGCACCTATTATACAGCCCGATGAATTTGCGCAATGCAGACGAAAACAACGACAGGACCAACTATCACTACTATCAGGTAGAAATTCTTATTATTACGGTGTACATTTGCTAACGTACCGTCATAGGAAGGATCGTAGGCAAGAGTACCGGCAGCACTCTTGTCCATGCGCATGACTGGTTGTGTGTCCCCTTGCACGTGCAATAAGCACCGAGTGCAGTGAAGGATGAGAAGAAGCAGCAGCCGTTCTGGTGGTAGCGTACCTCTCATGGCTCTTTCTTTTTTCGGCCGTACTCGGAATTTAAGTGCGTGCTAGGGTTGTTTTCTAGCCTTCTGATTGGTTCCCCCCACGATGTGCACACGCACCGCGCTTGCGCGAGCTTCAGGCCGCACGACTGTGCTCCTGAAGCCACGCACCAGCCACTTAGGCTGATTATAGCCAATCAAATTCAAATGAGGACCTCACTGAGCTATCTTTATTACGGGGTCCGCTACACGCTAATAGCAGTACGATTACTTCCATCCTATTCCTCATAACCACCACAAAAATCGGGAAAAGCTCCAATATTCCAAAAAAAAAGCTTCAAATGTAATAGTTTGTTATTGTCTCTTAACTTTTCACATTTTGATTCGTCCAAAATCGGAGTTATCACGTTGAGTGTGCTTTAGATTGCATCATTCAATTGTCAGGACCAATGCCTTTACCTGGTAAATAAAACTTAGAAGCATATTTGAATGATACGATCTTTTATCAAGTCATGGTAAATGATTGGAAAAAGGCATAACACTGAAAGATGTTAAAACTGCCCATATTAACCAAACGACTGTTAAGCGTTCAGCTGTAGGCGAATGGATAAAAAGGTTATAGTAGGAAGAACTGGGGTCTTTTAGGCTATGATAGCGGATCCCTGACTGATGCTCGACTGGATCGTGTGGAGGTCTTAACATGCGGCTCTGCAAATGATGTTGTAAAGGCCATGAAGATTTCACACAACCAGAATCTCTTTCAAAATTCTCATTGGGCCTGAAGCTCGCATTCTTCGCAGTAGTGCCATAATAGAAGTATGATTCTGTTTCAACATCGGACAGTGAAGATGTTCTATCTACGTGCATACAAATAAGGACATAAGTAGTGATTATGGACATGCCAATTTTAGTAGCGACTTTCTGCAGGAGTGAAATAAATTATCAAGTCCTAATACATGAAGTTAATTTATCGAACAATTCGCATAAATTTTTCAATATAGCAATCTTAGTCCTTAGAGGTCTCATTAGAAGACCGAACTACTTCACTTGAAACGCGTTTCACTGGTGTGATAAGATACCATCCTTCCATTTTTTTAAAGATTCGGCATCGAAAGCCTTGTAATTAAAAAAAAAATTGTAAGTATTGGTTTGTAATCAGCAGCGAACACATCGTGCCTTTAGACAATTGCGCATCTGGAGCCGTTGAAAAAGTGGCTGGTGTCAAATCGCTTTAAAGACGACACAACCTATTTATTCCACTGCAGAAGTGTAATACTTGCGTCTTAAGACCATCGCTCCAATCAGATCAGTGCAGTTCCTGTAAAAATATTCTAACAGTTGAGGAGTAGAAGTGTTGAGCACCAAGTGATATAAATATAGGTAATTTATATCGCAACTAAGGCGTTTACTTTACTGTACACCAATTGTAATTGCTTTGTATTAGACTAAAAGTTCTCTGCGATACCCAAAAAGTATGCCTGTATTTTATTGATGACCGAATATATGTTTACCAGAGATATCACAAATGTGGTAACTTTCCTTACATGACTTCAAGACCTCGAGATTAATAAAGAGCTCTTAATGTGTTTAAAAATAAAATTAAACAAACAAACTTCAAAGCTGCAGCATTTTACTTCTAAAATGCTATTGGTGCAACGGCAAAGATAAACAAAAGTACAAATTGCCTTTCGATTATAGCAACCGTTTTTGGGTGCTAAATACATACCAACTATATTAGTCCCAAGGCGTTCGCTTCCGGTGACCTGACACTTATTGAATTGTTAGGAGCCTCCAGTCTCCGCAGGCTGTGTTTTGCTTCGCGCCTTACCTCAAGGGCGGAGATAACAGTTTATAATCGTCTGCGTGTTTTCAATGCATATTCTTTCAGCAGAATCTTCGGCTCATTATGCATCCATCAAAGAGGGGGGCGTAATTCATTGTTCATGTGACCATATGACGTTTGGCGGTCACTTTACTCGTGGGCTGGCCTTCGGGCCATGCTCAGGGCCATTTGCTCTGTCATCTTCGGAATACATGTATCCAGCTTCACTTACTGCCTTCTTCCACCCAGTGGGTAGGCTCGGGACGCTACACGAAGGGCATCGTCAAGTCATCGTCAGCAAAAATAAAAAGTCATTCCATTGTTAAATCGGGCAAAATTAACCTTTTAGCGATGTGATTGCAAACGAAGCACTGGCTCTTGACAATAGCTGTTCACAATTAGGAGGGAGATCAGTGAAAAACTAAAAATTTCCACAGCTAAATGTCCAAATTTATAGCTAATACACTTAAGGAATCTGGGATCCATACTGTACTAGCACAAGAAGCAAAGCGAAATCCCCGATTGTCTGGGATTGCTGGTCGCGGTCCTGGCTTGTCCATTTTACGGTTTTCTGAAGCGGTATTTTTTAATACAGCTTATGTTTATGCGACCACCTAAAGTCTGGCGGTTTCTTTAAGATACGACCATTCCATGTACGCATGGAATGGTCGTCGGAACAAGCTCAAGCTTAAATCTATTGGTTAATCTAGAATACATGTATTCAGCCCAACTTATTGCTTTCATTAATCCGGTGGGAAACCTGGGGACACTAGTACTTAATAAGGCAGTACCAAGGGTTTACGCTGACCGAGAATGTGTATGGGAGATCGGGTTCAGTTATTTGGAGAAGGCAGTTCGTCGGCGGGCTCCTCGAACTTGGTGTTCCAATAGTAATATGTACAGTATGCACTTCATTTTGTCGAAGTATTTATATTTTGGCTATTTTCATGCCGTATTTTGTGTTCAGGAACGTCAAAATTAACTTTCTGTCGTTTAGTTTTTCCTACTAGAAAAGTTTGTGACTTCTCTAGAGGGAGCTGAGGCCATAGTACACGTGCAAAATGCAGAGATGATTGCGGAATGAGGGAGACTAGAACTGTAACATAGCATACAAATATATAGTAGTCCCAATTCGCATGGAAATTAAATTAAAACCAAGGGCTGGAACCAATGCGGAAAAATCAGCTAAAAACTTTTCCCTATTGACGTCCTCCATCCAAATTCTTTTAACGGCTTTTTTAGGAGCCTAGGTATTGTATAGATTACAAGTGGTGATACAGGGACCAAAGAAAGGTAGTGTCTATGGTGCTGCATGGACGGCGTTAGTCCGATTCTTTGACACGGCGTTGGAATTAACTTCTCCATTTCAACTCACAAGAAAATGCATTTTGCAGCTATTACTAAAGCTTAACGCATCGAAGGTAGAAAAGAAGGTAGTGTAATGGTTGGTTTATGTGACCACATGACGTTTGGCTCTTGTACACGTGGGCTGGTCTTTGAGCTATGCTCAGGCCCATTTGCCCTGTTGCCTTCGGAATACATGTAGTCAGCTGCACTTACTGACTTTTAATACCAGCTACACTGGTGGCACATACCGTTCGTTGCATGTACCTACGGTGTGGAGGGGGTGCATTACCTTCGTGGTGGAAGAACCTCTGAAGCCTTCATGACAAGAAAGTTGAGATTAACGTATGCATTTGCTTTCACCTTATTTCCGTGTTCCACAAACAAGCTATTAACAACTATAGAGACCGTCGTGAGCCATCTGAAAAGGTTTTGTGTCGGAAATTCTCCTACCAAATTCGTGCATAGGTGTCGGAAATGATAGTACGGTTCTCCTTACATGCGGGACGGTGGCTCATCCCGTTTTCCCCCTAACGTATCTGTTTTAGACCCGAGTTGCACCGTCTATTCCTGGAAGCAATTGATGGTCAACAGGTGTATGCGGCCCTGAATCTGGTTGTCACACCGAACTTAATCCAGGTCCAGTTGAAGCTGCCGAGGAGACCAGGTACGGCTCCTCGGTCTCACGCTCTGTCGACAGGCGAAGTTGGCCCGTGGGTGCTTACTTGTAGTACCGAATACGTTGTGATGGCTGGTGCGGGAGTTGTACCAAAGGGGAGCGCCGAGGACGTCGCTCAAGAGAAGAGATGGGAAATGTAGTTCCTTGGTAATGTGACCCCATGACGTTTGGCGGCCCCTTTAGGATTCGTCCAGTTCTTGTACATAGGGGCTGGCCTTCGAGCCATTCTAGGGCTCCGTTTGCCATGCCGCCTTCGGAACACATGGATTCAGCAGCACTTACAGACTTCTCATACAAACTAGGAAGTCTCGGAACGGCGCAGGTATTTTATCAAAAAACAAAACAGAGTACTTTGGCGAGTAAGGTTTCCAAAATCCCTCATCACTGAGTAAAGTGGAGGCAAATGCAAACATATGCCGTAGCAGTAAACTAAAGAATTTTTATACTTAAAAGCGTTTTAAAAACTTTGATTTTTAAACAAATATTCTAAGAAAATATATCGTTGATATTAGTTTATCTCTTGCTTTATTGCACTACCATACACAGTAAATTTAGTTTAAACCTAGAGATCTGTACTTTTTATATGATTGGCTGTAGACTATGCTAGTTGTCTTCGTGTTATCACTGTAGGTGGTCGGTCATGTCATTCTTTGGAACCGGAAAAAGTATCTTCGAGTCTACAGCAAATAGTTCAACTGGACAAGCGAAAAAAGACATCGAGGTGTCTTCGCCTCCATCTGATACTGTATCCTGCCTGCGGTTCTCACCTGCAACTGCAAGTTCGCCAAATGCTTACCTTGCAGGATCTAGCTGGGACAACCGTGTTCGTGTGTGGGAAGTAGCCTCTAATGGAACTTCAACTCCAAAAGCTGAACAAATGCATCAAGGTCCTGTGCTTAGTTTGTGTTGGAGCAATGATGGAACACGGATATTTTCGGTTGGAGCTGACAAATGCGCTCAGATGTGGGACTTAGCGTCGAATCAATTCGTTCAAGTCGGCGCCCATGATGCACCGATAAAAACGGTTCATTTTATTTCATCACCCAGTTATACGTGCATAATGACTGGAGGATGGGACAAAAAACTTAGGTTCGTGTTATTGTTGGGTGCTTGAAAAGTCAAATTTACGACACTACATCTTTTGTGTATCGTTACATCCTAGGTTTTGGGACATGCGCCAGGCAACACCTATGTCAAGTCTCGACCTTAGTGAGCGTGTTTATTGTGCTGACGTAGTGTATCCCGTTGGTGTTGTTGGGTGCGCTGGTCGACAGCTAATTGTTTACACTCTAGAGAAAGGTCCAGAGGTTGCTGCCCAAATCGAATCACCGCTGTCGTATCAGGTACTTTTTATTGATCTTACTGATGTGCATTGCATTATCCACTTAGCAATTTGCAATTATTATTAGGCCTTCGGTTTGTAGTAATGGGAATGGATGGTTGTACTCCATTCTCATGTATATGCCCTGTGGAATGTACCTATTAGGAATTTATTCAGCAGATTTCGCACACATAAATGGGATTTTTCCTTTGTCTTAGAACAGGTGCATTGCCATTTTTCTGGACAAGCAAAAACAATCTCCCACGGGCTTTGCACTTGGTAGCATTGAAGGCCGTGTTGCCATTCAGTATTTTCAACCCAGTGCACCTCGCGACAACTTCACTTTCAAATGCCATCGTTCTCCCACTCCGGTTAATGGGTACTACGAAATATTTCCCGTGAGTGCTTAATGAAATACTTCATTTGCAGTTCTCTTCTATAAGACAATGTGTTGTTCGATATGCCCTATTGAAAGGCTTCCCGCTGTTATATTGCATGTATAGTGAGGTTTATCATTTCATTGATTATTGAAACTGTTTAGTCGGTGCACTGACTCATGCGGTTCTAGGCGTTAGCGTCTGAAATTACATGTCTCATCATCTTGAGTGTAGCTAGAAAGTTGTTCCATATTTAATCACCTTATTCACGGACTCAAAGGAAGTGCATTTAAATCGTATTTAAGCAGTAATATCATTTATTCTCACGTGGCCGAAATGGCATTGAATTTTATTCTCTCACTAGGTCAACGATGTGGCCTTCCACCCTTTGTATGGAACACTTGCAACTGTCGGTTCGGATGGGCGATATGCATTTTGGGACAAAGACGCTAGGACTAAGCTGCGAGGGCTTGATAATGCAGAAATGCCTATAACTACCTGTACAATTGATCGAAGTGGAAATTTATTTGCCTACGCTTGTGGATACGACTGGTTTAAGGGTCATGAATTCGCTGACCCTAGCAAACCACCGAAAATTTGTATACGGCAAGTTTTGGATGAAATGAAGCCTTCTAAATAGACTGAGTTTTTCGTGATTAGGCATGAATCGTCTACAAAGCTGTCTTGCCCTGGCTAGAGTCTCGTTAATCACGACGCTGATGGTAATGAAATGCGAACAGCTCGCCATTCACACTCAAATCACATGGTTCTGTGGCCATGGGCTATAGTTATTACATTCGGCGTAGTTGGAACGTCGAATTATGCGGAAATCATGTTCAAAAGTAGACAGAAAGCTTTCACAATCAGGACCTTTTCATCAAACACATTGTACAATAATTGGAAGGGATAGACGGTGAGGGCTTTGTCTAACGCTAAGAGCTGTCAAGTCAATTGGTTTCAGGTGTCTGCATCTGGGTGGCGTATTCTTGTTCTGACGTCCCAGCATTATTTCCTCACGGGGTAGGTCTCCCAAACATTTTACAATATGCCAAGACTGGCGATTTTGTTTAAACTTACACTGGACAGTGCGGGATATTAGGTCAGGGGAACATTTCGTTAAAGGCGTATCTAGCTATTTGTTTGGCCTTTCTATTATGATGTGATGTATTTCATTGTTTGGAAAGACCTCGTGTGCTATACTGATGATAGTCTAAAGAGAATCCTGTCTAAGGCCTAAGGGGTCTGCTACTGAGTGGTAGGCCTTAGCGTGACGGATGCGGGTGGACGCTTGTCACAGATGTGAGAATTCGTGAAAAGTCGTGACAAATCTGGTACCAACGTCTAATTTTGATGAATACTTCGATTTCGTGTCTTGGAGGAATACTATTAAGTCAAGCGCCACTTCGCGAATAATTTGGAAAGGTTATTCACCGTACCTATCATGCAACACCCCAACTACCTCTCTACTGGCCTCTGCTCGGCTAACCAACACTAAGGTAGGAACAAAGTGATAAAAGGAGATAAAAATGAAACCCCTTACAAAATAACTTCCAACCTCATCATCCAGTATGTAACCTTCCTTTTAGATCAGTGTCGTCACGACTAGCAATGCACATGTTCGATGGTCTGCACGTTCACCCAAACTCCAAATATAGGACGGACCATCGGCACTGGGCCTGATGTATTCCCGTTTGTATGGAGGTTTGATAGCAGAGACGCACATTGATCGGTTGATGATCTTCTTGCAACACCAATTGTTATAAGGGATGACGTGGTAACCGATCAAGGAGTGCTGCAAATGAGTTGGAAGACGACAGGTGCTACGTGGTTGTAAGTTTTGCTTGCAGATCATGTGAAGACCAATGACCATTGCACTCCTGCTGACAGCCTGACTTTTAGACCATCCCTGTCGCTGCTGATCTTCCTGACTTTTGGCAACATATGCCATGATCAGGCAGTCTTCTTTCTACCTCGAGAAAATACCGATCATTCAGAAGTGTGTGCATTTATTTGCACGAACTAACGGTGCAGAATAACGGGGAATCTCTTGCGGATGTGACTTATGTATTTTCTGAGAGCAAATGCAATAAACGTGCTTGTCCATGATACCAGTTCCCATTCCAAAAATACTAATCTTGTATTTTTTAATCACATTGTCTTGACTGGCCGATTTTACGCGAAATTGGGATACGTATTGGTGACACCGATTGTAAAGTTAAGGCTAATCCCACATTTGTCTTTGCGCTATAACTTTGAAATCTGAATAAGGATGATGAGCTTTTGAGTAAAGCTACTTTCTACAAACACTGGACAAACTCAATTTCATTAATAATGATAATTGTGCCGCCTTAAATGTGCCCTTCAGACAAGAGAAAGGAAAGTATAAATGTGAATCCTGTGCTGGTCTTCCCGAAAGTGGAATGGTCCACCACTCTAGCATTACTAGCTGTATCGATGTTGTAGCTACCAAGCGTTTGCATTTTCTGAAGAGAACAGGACAATATTTCCTGATGGGAAAGCTGTCCACTGGTGGCTTGATTTCATTATATTCCACTCTAACCACGCTTAAAGAAGACTGCTGGCATCCGACTGCATTGATTGTACATGATTTCACCACAAAAAATCTGTTTTCAAGGCTCCAGAAAGGCTTTGGGAAAGGGGCTGCAACAGCACCACGACTCATCGATTTGAGTAGGGTTCCGAACAAGTGTCGGAACGTCAACCGATGATGCTTTGAAACAGCTGAATATTTATTCGCGATCAGCATGCCTACCAATGAAGTCCTCACAGTCCTTCCAAGTACAGTCGAGTTTTCAGTCACAATAATTTTGAAGTCTACTGATATGAACAATTTTTCCAACAAAAATTTGCAGTTGTTTGCTCTGTGCTACCTGGATTATCACCGTTAAAGTGTAGTCAATTTTTGCAAGAAGAATACCTTACACCGTGTCGTAGGGCTTCATGGTATAGCAGATCAAGTTATTTGCATTCAGTGCAATAGAAGCAGTGTGCTATGGGCCTCCTCTCTTCGCCATAGAAGCAATGACCGCATAAGCCAACAGAGAGAAGACGCCAGTGGTGTTCTTAGTGGCTTCGTCTACCTCCCAGATGAATCCCCATCTTATGAGCCTGTTTGCTTGGCTCTGATGTTACCCATCATTGAAACTTTAAGTCCATCCAAATACACACTTCCCAAAATACTTCTCTTTCTGATGTCTTAGTACCTGACCTTTAGTAGCTTCCTTCAGACAGCAGATTGGCTTACACAGAATGGCTCCAATCAGACGCCATACTTTGTCAAATGAGGTAAGAACTGCAGACCTTGGCGTTTTCGTTTGATTCCTTCCACAAAAAAAATAATCGATATGGCAGCTGGGGTGGTTTATTTGGTATAAGAGGCAGTACTTAAGCTAGGAATCCCCTTTTAAGAACCCGCCTACCTCTGGAGTTAAGACAGTTAATGCAAAAAGCCAATTCCTTAAGGTGTGCTCAGCGTACAAGCAATTATTAATTCACGAGCTGAAGACACCCACAGAGTGAATAAACATAGAATAGACACAAGTAGATACGGTTAAATTTGCAAGGGTACCACCGAAGCTGAGGGATTTAGAGTGGTTCTAAGCCAAATTTAGTGAGGTTGGTTTGTTTTACATGCTTATCCAGACTTTCACAGGTCGTTGTCATAGGGAATATAATCCTCTCTCGGAACTGGAGCAGTTTTCCAAAACGCGCTAAAATTTCAAGTAGGCTTAATTTAAATACGTATGTGATCGGTTGATGAAGCCTTGATTGCATTAGCAATCATAGGAGAATATACATACAACCAGCAGCAAGGTTTTTTATCTAAAAAGCGGTGAGTATACGACAATTAAGCATTACATGAAAGCTTGCTAAAAGTTAAAGGAATTCAAAACCATGGTGTATTAAAATATGTGGGTATCTACATATTGGTCTCAAAGTTTGGAGCTGCGGTAGTACCGCAGTGTGATACAAAGGGCAATAAAATGAAAAATTATGACGGATCAAGCTTACTGCAGTCATCAGGATCGCCTGCTATTTCATCGAGCAATACACGAGGAATCGATCGCCAGGTTTCCATGCACGCAGTGAAGTAGTCATTCACACGGCTAATCTCCGAAGTTGGTTCAATGATCAGTTTGACAGCCGCAGTGGAGCGAAAACACGTTATGTTGATTGTTTGTTGCTGTAAATGAATGTTAACCAAGATAGTGAGATACATTTATGGCAGTTCTAGGAAATCTAAATGTTTCACATATCCTTGACAGTGCATTAAAGATCATTTCGGGGCAAACATCACAGTAATTTTAGTAAAATGCCCTTCAAATAAGATAATAACAAACATGTTAGTACCCTAGTGCCGTCAATAAACGAAGTAGTTTTGAGCGACAAATGTTTATACATCTCGACAACACAGAACTGATTCTCGACATATTGTAAAGTAGTTATGTCATTAAGTAAACACTACAAAGCCATTTTCGCTGGTGAATTTCCATCACAAAAGCTACCATAGAGAACTACCACAACGGGGCACTGTTTCATTTCCAAAATAACTGGGAAAGATGTACAAGAATGTGTGAGTGGATATTTCTGGCTGGTCAATGAATTTACTTAACAAGACGTACAAAATTCCCAGTTCCCAACCCATAATGACTGCGTGTGGCATAAACTACAACAACTGCAACTGATAATGAAACAACAAAGTGTCACATACCTTATTGGCGTCATCATTATCAAACACGGAAACGATAAGACCAAAAAAACACGGATTCAGTTTTTCATAGAGGGTCTGTGTACGAATATCTTCATCACTTGGTTGTACCGTGGTATGAGGGTGTGAGTGGTACCAGCCAAGGACACACAGGTTTTCTTGCAAGCTAGCCCCGAGGTCCTGAAATAAAAAAGGCATTTCGAATGCACCTACTAACACAGGACTACCTCAAGTACAGTAAATACTACTATAGTTGGTGCAACGGCACAGATAAATGCAAGACTAAACCGGTCCAATGCAAATTATGCTACCAACATCTGCAGATATTACAAGAACAACTGCCCAGGTTGTGTCAAAACAAGAAAATGTGGTTGGCCGCAAGTGTAGAACGGTCCAGCACTCAGCATTTTTCTCTCAAAGAAATAGAACACTTACATCAGCTTTTTGGGAACCCAGTACAATATCTTCATCACTAACTTCTACTCTATCTCGAAGATGAGTGCTGCGACGAAAAGGAATAGCTGTGTAGATTTGAATGTAAGAATCATGCTCTTTCGCACAGAGGAGACCTATAATTTCCTCGTTTTCATGTGAAAGGGCATGTGTGACGATCGTCTGGTAGGCAGATGGAGGAAGCCTAACTTCTTTCATCTATTAAAAATGAGGATGCGGATAATTACCAATAAAATTGAAATAAAGGTTAAAAACATAGGCCTAGCAACTCTTTATTGTAAGATATTTTGTCATACTAGTTGACAAAACAGACGAAGAGCTACAAAAAATCATTTTGGAATCCAAGGTTCCACTTTGGGCTTTGTTGTGGAATAGGGTACATATTTAGCCGACTCTTCAAGAGTACGATTTTCTTGGTGACTCAACATCCATGGACGACGTTGTGGAGGATTTTGTATTGGAGTTTCATCCGTCATATAATGAAGCCAACGGTGCCTAAGCAGTCCATTCGATTCACAAAACCTACCACTCTGGAGGAATTTGGGACCCCTCGTAATCCCATCCAAACCGATTTCCGTATACAACCCAACGATTGCGTCCTAGTAGGTTAAAAAATCGTAGGAATACCAAAAAAATAGCGGTCATTTTTGTAGTATTTATTTCCCAGGTAATCTTCTCCAACTAGCACTCCGTCTTTTAATTCGTCCGTTCTTACAAAGATATCACAGAGCTATACACTTTACCTGAACAACATCACAATAGACCCACGAATCCCACCATTTTGCTTGATTATGTTAATAAGCCTAGACACTTTCGCGATGAGGCTAGCCATGCCGAAGCTGAAAAAACCACACAGCCGAATAAATGAGGAGCAAACCTTCCTGAAATGTTGCCAAATGACGTAGTGCACTTAAAGAGATGATGGTCCAATAACAGAGCTCGAAGAAACGCATTAATATTGACTTAATATCTATTATTCTTTGGCAGCCTTCTAAATATTTCAGAGATTAATAGTAATGCACTTCATTTGTTATAAATGTGGCGTACCAGTTCTCGAGTTTTTCTCGAATTAGGAAATACTCCCAGAAGATGAGGTTGTAGTATCTATTTTTTTAAGAACGCCGCTAGGATTAGTTAAGTTGGTGAAACTATCATGCTTTTTAGGGGCAAGCTGGCTTTAGGGCAATAACTATGCTTCATCTTTACCATTTATATCTACGCAAAAGCATTTAGCCAAGGCCCATGCCTACTACTGCCATATGCGGAGGCTTGACATGCAGTTTTGGGCGCATTGGGATGCGAATCATTCCTTGCTTCTTCCATTTGATCCTGCGATTTGAATACGAATGCTTCTGGCGAGAGAGCTCCTGCAATACTAGGGCCGATAATGAAGGATAATTTGGGACGCTACAAAAGTGGTTTTTATATGGTAATTGAAATCTAACGGGATCACTTAGGCATCTGAAAGTCTCCTTTCACCTCATCATATTTGCACTCACTTGGTACAAGCATACGAACAACTAGGATACGCAGGAGATTGAATGGTGCCGTATGATCCAAGCGATGTGTACCAGCATTCTCCCCTCATCCAGTGCGTGATTTATTTCTGCTGCACTTGCCCTGCCCGCCGCAAACTTAGGACAACTCATCACACAGCGATGCCCCCACTTAAAGTCACCCTCCAACAGGAAAAGTTCACACACACATCGTCTGCTCTCTACCTACCACC